AAAGACTTAAGAGGACGATGAAGACAATGGCAGGTGGTTATCGCTGAAGATATCCGCCCATAGGGCAACTCAGAAAATTCTTGGATACACTCAACGGCGACGCGCGGACTGGATTAGTGCAATTACCCTGCAACTGTCTGCCCAGACGAGTCGAGCCAAGTCCCGCACCGATGCTTCCTTCCGCCAACCCCGAAGGGTGAAGGCAAAGCCGGCTAGGGATTATCGGCAGAAGTATTGGTCCGAAATATCAAATTTTATGAAGCAGGCCTCAAGTGTTGGCGACAGTCGAATACTGTACCAAATTATTCGTCAAGTTAGTGGTAAGTCCTCGACACTCTATGATTCTGCTCGCGATGTGAATGGCGACTTTATTCTTGACAACTCGGCCAAAGTCGATTGCTGGCGTGAACATATCAAACACCTCCTCAACCGTGATTAGCAACATATCACGCCCTCTTCCTCCTCCACAGCGGAGTTTCAGTCCTCTCTAGCCTGCGCAGTGTCGTGTGACTTCGTTTCCGAATGCGGAGTTGCCGATGCAATGCAGAAGCTGCGCAACAAAAAGGCATCCGGAGGGGACGGTAAGCCCGCTGAAATCTGCAAGTCTTGTGTTGACAGTCTGGTTCCTTGGCTTCATGAGGTGATTGGACAAGCGTGGAGGGACGGGAAGGCGGAGAGAGCAAGTTAGGTGCGGCGCCTATGAGCGGCCCCGTTCGCGCCAGTTACCTGCGTCCGATCCCGCCTCCAGCCTTATTGACTCTTTCTTGACACTAGGCTCATATAGATAAGGGGTGAGAGGGTGCGGTAGATGCGGCGCAAGTCTTTATCACTTAAAACTAAGTCGAGTCATCGTCCATGAACCACCCTGTTGTGGTGCATATTCTGGACATCGAAGCAATTGACAGTCAAACTGTCATTAGGGCCACCCTTTTACTTGGACGGGAGGTTCCTATTCCTGTGTCCTCTTTATGAGAACTGTCATTTCCGGTTGAACAAGTTAGAAATTCTCCATGTCCATTTTCACTGATTTCCTGTTAAACCGACTCCAATTGTTTCCTTCTTACGAAAGCCTGTTCCCTTGTCCTCTGAACTGCGTGCCCGAGCCCCCTTCCACCAAAAATGCTGTTCCTGTTGACCTCTTTGTTTCCGGTCGAATGAACACTGGTGTTGAAACTAGTCACCCGGTCAACTGGTACTTGAATACTGTCCCCACCCTCCGTTCGGCTTTCTTGCCTTTTAATCACCTTTTCCCAAAATACCCTCACTCTTAACTGCATCAAGCGACAACTCTTTCAAGAGCTATTCGATATTGTCTTCCCCTCCCCCTCTGGTTCGATTACAACTATCACTACCGCTGACCTCAAACGTTTGCAATTCCTCCCCCCCTTACCGGCCCAGTATCGCCTCTGTTCACGTCCACCCCCTCCCCCTTCACACTGGTACTTTCAGACCAATCCTAAGGCCATAGAAATGGCCTCCTGAAATCATATAAAAGCAAAGCCACGCCCCCTCTCCCCCTTATACACATAAGCTTTCCCAAGACTAGTTTCGCCCTGCGTGGCGTTATTGTTGAACTTGT